AGTGTGGATGCGCTGTCCTTGAAGGACGTTCAACTCGGTTTTGTTTATATTTTGCTTGGCCTATAATTTTAAATGAAATATGTCGTATTTATTTATTTTTCTCTGACACTTTTCCTACTGTGTTAACAGAAAAATATTGGAAGATCCGAAGCTTTCATCAGTTTGATGGTGTTTATGCTACAAAAATGGAAAAACGATGCGTCTGGGGTACTTGTAACACTGAATTCAGGTATCCTGAGAGGATGGAATTTATTTTATTACATTTCCTGAACCCGAACAAAATAGAGCAAAATGTCCGTAAGCATTCAACTCTAATCCCAATGAAGTCTCATTTTCATTTCATTATGCCTGTAATGCCTGATAAAGCAGCGTTTGTGAGCGCAGTGCTGCTTTGTGTACAGCGTTACCGGGGAAACAGCTATTTTTACCGCTCCAAAAGCGGCACCTAGTGGCAAAGAATGAATTTGCATCTTCATTCAGACCAAGCTTTCAGGTTTTCCCAGGTCTGCGCTTGCAACAAGTGGGCGGGCAATATGCTAATGTTTCATGTTGATATCAACGTGAAACGGCTTGGGATTCGTTTTAAAAATGACTCGTTTAAATGATTCAGAGTCGACTCTTTCTTTTGAGAGACAATAACTTTATACACAGTGCACTTTCAGATTTAAAACTTTGCAGGATGTTTTCATTCACTTAGAGCTGTTACACACTGCATGAAAGGTCATTTTCAAAAATCCATAATAGGGGCACTTTAAAATCTTTTATATATCCCTCCATGGCATATCCCACTTGAATGGTGGTCCTTCTGTGTCCAAAATTGTTCAAGAACATCGTGTGACAAGGTTTTCACACTGACAGCTGTCATTGTAAGACAGTGAGCAGCTCCGTTTGTTTGTCCAAGGGAGCAACAGTAACTAAGGGGGGCGGGGCTTACCGATAGGTCAATTGGGCTACTTTAACACTGTTGCCGCGGTTTGTTTTTCATGTCCGCGGGTTGAAGCGACCCCAATAACGTGACATTTAGCCCCTGAAATGCGAATTTTACTGGGGAATCTCACCAAAAAACGTGTATTTTACCCCTCGGAACGCAATTTTTAACGGGGGACCGCCTCGAAACGTGATTGGCTAGTTTTGGGCTAGTTTTGAGTAGCAATTGGGCGGGTTTTGTTGTGAAAACCTGGCAACCCTTATTCTAATGTAATTTAACAACATGCTGAAAACTTTCTATAGACAAAAACACCATAAAACAGTTTTGGACATTGGAGTTACTTGGTCTAGGTTATACAGTAGTACCATTGTGCGCACTGTATCAACATCTTGTTTTCATTCACGTAAAAATATGGCGTCTTCTCTGAAAGTTGTGGCCATATTAGCGAAATTTCTTGGGCAAAAGGGTCCGCCGACTACTGTAAATAGTGTGGCGATGTATGAAGCACAGCTTACACAGAAATTTTTGAACCAAGCAGTTTTCTGTTGGTGAATCCGTGTGCTCAACTAAACCCGATGTGATATCTCTATGAGGAAACTCCAGTCTGGATATCGCCCGTGAAAGTTCGACGAACAACAGTAAATGTTTGCATTTGTGCAGCAACAGAACATAAAAATTAAGCTAAAAAGTCATAATTACAGGGATAGTACACCAAATATTGCAGGAGGCCACATTGAACTATAAATGAATCCAAGAAGAATATTGTTGGGCGTGTAATTGAATTTAGGAATTTTCCAATTTGCAAATAGAATTAATTATTCGCATGCACGTTGTTTATTCTGTTGTTTATTTGCGTGCTGTTCCTCATTGCACATTTTTTGCTATTCATAAAAGATCATATCAAAAGGTTTACGAATAGTAGAAACATTAACTAGCATTACTAGCTACGTTTTCCATTGCCTGAGAACAACTTTTGTCAGTTAACTTGATAGTTAATATCTAATATTTGAAGGATCAGTTACTTTTCTTATATATATATACACTCACTGGCCACTTTATTAGGTACACCTTGCTAGTACCGGGTTGGACCCCCTTTTGCCTTCAAAACTGCCTTAATTCTTCGTGGCATAGATTCTATATATATAAAGTGACCGCCACCTACTGGCCTGGCATGAATAATACAGCGTTTTTAGTCACTTTCACAGATCTGTATGAATGGGGATCATTGTGACGTTTTGTGGTCTGTACGCGAAACTCAACCGGCGCAAATGCTTATGTTCTCGAGTAAACGTACCCTAAGACCTTTGGCTCAATATTGCAATCCTCTGTTGTCTCCTAGTGAGGCAAAAACCGGATCTTCTCAGGTAACAAGAATTCATATTGGCTTTCATTAGAAATCCAGCAGACCTTGATGTCTGGATGCATGTTACATAAATCTATGCATGTTATATAAATATGCCTTATGTTGTTCAAGGGCAGCCTATAATAGCAATTTCAAGGCCAGAAGGCCATTTGCCCATTAAAGCAATGCTTGTTTGTGGGCAGGTTGTGCAGTAACATACTCAGTTATGACATTGTTCACCTCTCAAGTTAGTGGAAACGTGGGCTGAGGGTTTTCAGAGAGGGTTGCACAGACACCGACACAGCACCATTTCAGTTGCACTGACAGCATAGTGAACAGTTGTGAATATAGTTGCTCATCAGAGACCCCTTATGCTGTAAGGCATGTAGACTATACCTGAAACTGTCTGAAGATACAGGATTATTTGGTTTGATTCAGAAATGTTCCCAAGCTGGAGGTCTAGATCACCACCAGGGGTCAGAGTTCTCTCAGGTTACGCCAATAAATTAATGTTTATTGTATAAATATATATTTATGTTAATCAATTATATTTTTTATTGTAGTTATAACAGTATATTAATGGATCATATTTAATATATATATATTTTTTTACAATAAATAGGTTAAATATCATATATATACATTGGGTACGGATAGAACTGGAGAGGATCTGCAAGGAGGAATGGCGGAGGATCCCCAAATCCAGGTGTGAATAACTTGTTGCATCTTTCCCAAAAAGACTCATGGCTGTATTAGATCAAATGGGTGCTTCTACTAAATACTGAGCATTTTTCAGTTTTTCTTTTTTAATAAATCTGCAAAGATGTCAACAATTCTGTGTTTTTCTGTCAATATGGGGTGCTGTGTGTACATTAATGAGGAAAAAAAATTAACTTAAATGATTTTAGCAAATGGCTGCAATATAACAAAGAGTGAAAAATTTAAGGGGGTCTGAATACTTTCCGTACCCACTGTATATATATGGTGGTTTGAATCTTTCTTTGGAGGATTTCTTTGAATGTCTCACGTATGAACTTACGAGGCAGGCCATCTTTCAGAATGGTGTACAATGGACACACAAAAAAAGGTTTATAGTTTAATTACAGTTTTAAAAATATCACATTTCACAATACTTTTAGTGATTTCCATGATTTACTCATTTGAAACAATAGCACAGTTGATATGTTTCATATTACTTATTTTCTTTTACCTGAAGATGTCACCAGTTAATCACGCTGTTCCCAATGTCCACAATATATTTATAATATATCATAATCTATTTTACCCAGCACTGGGTTGTATTTAACCCAGCATTTTTTAGAGTGCAGCATTGTGAAAGTAAATATTATAAGCATAAATTTAATCTACACAGAGGGTTATTTTATTACATACATTACCATTTATTCAGTATTTTTAGGGTCACTAAAGAAATGTGAATACAATGTAAATGCAAGTACACCTTCTAGGATTTGCCAAATTTTATTAATCAACATTCATGTCCTCACAGAGGATCTAAATTATATCTCAACCAACATTAATTGCAAACACCGATCCAGTGCAGAACTTATGCAACTTGCCCGTCAGTTGTCTAAATGTTGCAGCTGAATGCGAAAAACCTGCAAATGTATTGTGATTTAAATATACAGAAAAGCTGTTTAAAGTGCACCTCACCCCACTTTAGTCACATTACATAAGGGTGGTGAGTGAGGAGAGCAAGCTCAGCAGCAGCACCGCGAGGCTGAACTTAGTGCAAACGCCATAGTTTTCTAGCTGGCAGTCGGTGTAGGGCTCAATACAGGCAGCGTAAGCCATAGCATGAGGAATGTAGCTTTGCTCTTGGACTCCGTGGAAGAGGTGGGCCATTGGGCCTTTGGCGAAAATAGCAACATCCTCAGAGCCATGAGTTTCTGAATCTAGAGGTACAGCAGCCTGCTGAAGATATTCATCACTGCCTGGAAAAAAACAAAAACAGTCACATATTAATAAATTACTTTATACAGTTATTTAGTAATTCACCATACAATAAAAAAAGTTCATAAAATTAATCTTAAAACTTGTACAGTATGAGGTTTAAAGAAAATTCACTTCACACATTTTCTATATAAGGACTTTCAAAATTAAAAAAAGCACCATGAAAGTACAACTAATTTGCTATATTCTAATTGAAAAGACTTCAGCAGGCAATCTTATTCATGTTCAGATGCACGTTAAAACCTTCAGTGAGAGCTACGATGCTGTTATTTCAGTAAATAACTTTTCAGTACAAAAATACTCAAAATATGGGTTGCATTTATGTGTGGTATGGAAGAAAAATAATGCCATATGTCTTTGAAACAAAAAAAAACGTTGAATAGCACTAACTGAAAAAATAATGCATTGCATTAACAGTGCTTGCATTTTAATGCCTTGTATTTCCAGGGCTTGCATTTTTAGGCCCTGAAATTTAACCTAGTTGTTTATTTAAGCTGTGAATATTTCGATTCAAAATATTTCACACACATTTTCATAATTAAAAATTCAGTAATTCATATTCACCTTCCAGAATTCACTTCCAAAATATTTAATCTGTTTAAAAATACGATGTATAATATTCGACAGGCAAATTTCGGTCCATTCACAAAAACTGATCTGCAGAAATGGAGCAAGCGCTAAGTAGATGTTTTGATTATCGGGGCCAGTATAAACATGTGGAAAAGCTGATTGTGTGTGTGTTTAATTCAACATCTTCGCTTTTTCCCGTAGCCTGCATGTAAGCAGCTTTCTCTACCACAAAGGAGATTATAATGCTGTTTTACTCGACGCTGAAGTACAGAACTAACATTACATCTGAGGAAGACATATATTGCTTTCGGATGCTTAGTTTCTGTAACTTTGTATCATGGCTTGTGTGACGCTGCGCTGTAATACTGGGGTTCCCCTCATACAGTAATGAGTGATAAGACCTCAGATCTCAGAATACACTTTATTGATGATTATGCGAACTACAGTTAAGCAGATGTAGAATATGAACGAACGCGCAAGGTTTCACACTATTCCCCTCAGAAATCTGTTAAAGAAAACGCATTACGCGGCGCAGTGCATTAACGCAATGACAGCTATTAAAAGACCAAACTCAGATCTTACTGATCTGTAAACAGATGAAACTATAAACTGAAACTATGAACAGGCAGATGAGGATATGAACGCAAGTCACGGAACGCGCGAAACTGCACTTTAAACATTTCCCTTAAAGAAAACACTTAACCTGGTTTATTGCCTCAAGACAGTGATATTAAATATGTATGTTACTAGTATGTTACTAGTGACCAGACTGACTTACTACAGTTGAAATTTTGCCAATATCGTCCTCACTGTAAAGTTTGCCAATATCTTCTCACTGTAAAATTCACATAAAGTTTTTTTTTTAATGTTCCAAAGGTTGTAGTACATTCCTAGTGACTAGACTGACTTACTATAGGTGACATTTTGCTAATACCTCCCTTATTGTACATAAAGTACATCAATATTATATACTACAACTTTTGGAACATGAAAAATCCCTTTTGGGGTCTTACAGATTTTTTGTATAATTGTGAATGGTGCATACAGTAATGGAGATACTGGCAAAATTTCACATGAAGTAAGTCAGTCTTGTAACTAACAACGTACTACAACCTGTGGAACATGAAAAAAACCCTTTTGGTGAATTACTGTAGTTTTAAAAAATATATATTTGTGTACTGTACATACCATAAGGGAGATATTGGTAAAATCTAACCTGTAGTAAGTCAGTCTTGTATCTAGCAACGTACTACAACCGTTGGAACATGAAAAAAACCTTTTCCAGGGATCTTTTATATGTAAATAATTGTGTACTGTACATATATGAAGGGAGGTATTGGCAAAATGTCACCAGTAGTAAATCACTGTGAGCAATACGAGCTTTACAATTTGACAGAAGAGAGAGACATAGAGTTTGATGAAAGAATTTTTATTATTTATTTATTTATTTATTGGTGAATTATACCTTTAAAGCAGCACTATGTAACCTTTTCTGTGTTCAACATTTGCAAAATGTATATAATGAGCGAGTACATCATGAATTCATCTTCCAAACCGCGTTTTTGTCTTATTCCGAATCACTACGGTACACTTATAATAAGTACTTATATTTGGACTATTGTAGCCTGGTCACCGCTGCGGAGTAACACATACCTGCGTGAATCGCCATAGACATAAACTTAGAGAAGTAGCTCCGGTTAGAATGTTCTTCCGCGGGATGTGTGCAGTTCTGTTTATTAACCGCTAGAGCGCCAAAAGTTACATAGTGCTGCTTTAATGTAAAAGAAAAGAGTTTTGTTTCATTTTCTTGCAGTAACACGCATGACCACAAGATGGGGCGTCTGCATTGCCAAAACATTGAGCTTGTGCCATGCACTTAAAAATGCTCGTCTGCACCTGGGGGAATAACAATTAAACTCATAAAACTTACTTGAGTGCATTGCCAAAACATTGAGCTTGTGCCATGCACTTAAAAATGCTCTTCTGCACCTGGGGGAATAACAATTAAACTCATAAAACTTACTTGAGCTTGTTGCATTCATGTCAGGACGGGTTCCATTCGCAATCTGGTATCCTGGACCGTTCCCGTAAAGTGCATTAGTAAAGCTCTTGCCATCCTCAGCTTTTGAATAAGAAACGCCTTAAGACAAAAAGGTAAATAAGTCATTCTTAATCCCATAATACCATCAAATTTGTTCTTGCTGAGAAAAAAAAAAAAAGTATTTCTACTGGGCAAATATTTTGGAGCTTAAACAGAAATAATGGCTCATTTAAATTTTATTTATTTATTTATTTATTGTCATCATTTACTCTCCATCATGTTGTTCCAAACCAGTATGGCTTGCTTTCTTCTGTAGAACACAAAAGAAGATATTTTGAAGAATGTTTCAACAGTTTTTGCCCATACAGTGAAAGCCAGTGGGATTCAAAACAACAAAACATTGCAGGCCATTGAGTTTCATTGTATTAATAAATAAATAAACTGTGGCATTTTTTTTTAAATGTCTTCTTTTGTGTTCCACAAAAGAAAGTCTTACAAGTTTGAAATGCCAAAAAGTTGAGTAAATGATGACAGAACTGTCATTTTTTGGTAAACTATCCCTTCAAGCCATGTACAGTATATCATTTCAAAAGGTGTGGACATACGAGTAAGTTTGGTTTTCAGCAGCTCATGGATGAATTTTGTGTTTGCGTACCTAGCACAGGATTGCCCCTGTAAGAGTAGCCACCGAAGGAAAACACATGGGAGTGGTCAGCAGTGACCACGGACAAGGTGTCGAGTTCACTCGTCAGCTCAGCCGCCCGCGCAATGGCCCTGTCAAATTCCACAGCCTCCGTCAAAGCGTACTTGGCCTGCCCTGCGTGATGGCCGTGATCTATTCTCCCACGTACAGGAAAGAAAACACACAAATATAAGTATGCTCAACACATCTTATAGGCTACGCGATGGAAACAAGACATGATATCAACTTATCTTCCACAAAGAGGTAGAATCCTTTCGAGTTTTTGCGAAGAATCTTAATGGCTTTTTCCACCATCTCAGTCAACGACGGGTCCATTGAAGGATCGCGTTCCAGCTCGTACCTGGTGTCCTTTGGCTCAAAAAGCCCTGAGCGCAACAGTAAAAACAAACCACACTGAGAATAACTGACTTCAAATGTGAAATATATGTATATTTTGTATTACCAGTTTACCAAGAAATGTGCTTAAGTAACTATCGAAAATAACTTGTTTTTATGACATAGACCAGTGGTTTGCAACCTTTTTTCCAGGGGACCCCTATTTTAGCATTCTTTTTTTTTTTTTACGACCCCCATTAAAAAAAAAAAAAACAGTTGTTAAGTTTGGAATAAATGCAACAACAGTAGAAACATTAATTACATTACATTACATTAACAACAATGGCCAGATTTTACATGAACAAAAAATGTTTGTCGGGTGACTTCAACATGACATGTTATCTACTAGCATGTACTAACAAAGTTTTAAAATGATACTTCACATTTCAGACTTAAAACCACTTTTAAGAAAAGAGATATGAGTGAAAATGATGAATGCTTATAAGCATTTTATCTGCTCTGTTAATGATTCTTAGATACAAATTGGTTAGATTTTTAGAGTGCACATTAGCTTTTCATCAACCAACCGATTAAAATGTATAACAGTGCAAAAAATTTCGGTCTGATTTTTGCATTGGTTTGAACAAAAACACCAGATGGGCTGAATGAAGATGTATATCGACTGTCAGACAGCAGGTGGCGCTTATGGAACAGCAGAAATAGAGCTGTTTCCCGTAAACAAAACACAGCTGCGCTTATAAACAGAAATGTTTCTGAAGACAGATGGTTCAATTCAGAGGTACATTCATATTTTAATTAATATATTTCCCTCTGTAAACCCTTTCACTGCCTTCCGCCATGTTTTCACACAAAACGAAACCAATGCTGCATGTAATGAATAATAGTTATGCAAACAAATGTTACAAATATGGCAAAAATGGAAACATTTGGATTCTTGTGGTGTGAGACAGGCTCGTGAGCCCAATGCCATTTCAGTTTTGATTGGCATATGTATGCTGTTTGTGTTTCATTTTATAGTTTAATATATAATTTTATAACTACTTATTTTTCATTCTCGTTCTGTTCTGAATACCATTAAATTTAAAATATTTGATTATTTGAGATTACTTCCTCTTTTTGGCCAGGTTTCGTTTCTCCGTGTCGTAAACTCTAGGGGCGAGGCTTCTAAACCAGGGTGTTTTTAAGGGCGTGATATTCAAATGACGATTGTTTTCTGCCGCCACATTTATCAACGTGCAATCATTCGTACGATGAGATTGGCGGCATACGAATGTTTCATGAATCACACGTGAACTCTGTCGTAAGTTGATTTGTGCGCACGGATCTGCGCTCGTTTTAGATTGAGGCCCATTAACTTTATACACGGTGCACTTTCAGATTTCAAATTTTGCAGGATGTTTTCATTCACTTAGAGCTGTGTTACACACTGCATGAACGGTAATTTTCAAAAATCCATAATAGGGGCACTTTAAAGTAGAAATGGTATTTTCTTATAAAATGTACCCAAGCAATCTTTGAAAAAGATTCATTAAAATAAACTAAAGCAACTAAAACAATCTAAAAAAAACGAAAAGAACTCCTATTTTATTTCACCTCTCTCAACAACTGTTTTTTTTTTCCTTTAAAGAACCAGGATTCCCAGAGTCTTGAAAAACCTACATGAGGTAGCCTCATTTTAAAAGACGTGGAAGAGTCATCATGTAAATTAATAAAACAGTAAAATTATATTGCTATTTTTATGATAAATTTAAATTTTTCTACCCAAACTCAAAAACCCAAATATTTGATTGGGTAGACATTTAAAAAAAAACCTTATCCTTAATGCTTTTCCAGTAAATAAATTTAAAAAGGATTAAAGCTACTGGAAAAGTCATGGAGCCTTTGAATGTTGTTGTGGACAATGGGGGGCTTTGGAGTCAAAAAGGTTGAGAACTGGTGACAGAAATTTTATACTGTAGGATGTAGATCAACATAACGGGATGTTTTCCCTCCAAATGGAGGAGGAGGCGGCCTTACCCATCAAGTAATCAGTATTGCCCTCTTTGACAGCATCAAAATCTTTTTTATTCCACACATATTTGGCATTCTAAAGAAAAAAAAAAAGTGTTTGTTAGGTGTAGTTCGTCCAAAATGTACTCATCCTCATGTTGTTCTAAAGACTTTCATTCTTCCATAGAGCACAAATGGAGTTAGCCAATATGTGAACCAACCAAATCTGCCATTGGAATGAATGGGAATGGGAAAGGATGGCTCGAGTCACGCATTACAGACCGTGTAAAATGTCACGACTGTCATGACAGGTTGATTCTTGTGACAAACTGAATATGGACATGCATGGATGAGATTCGCAAACATATGCACAAATATTGACTTGAATTTCTACTAAAAATTCCTTATTCCAATGTATGGAAAAGAGCAACCAGGACATTCTTCTAAACATCTTCTTTTGTGTTCTATCATTTCGTTTTTTTTTTTACTTCATGAGGGTGAATAATTGATGACAGAATTTTCATTTTTAATATTTTTTGAGAGGTTTGACTTACGTTTTTGCTTCTTAACCACACATCAACTAGGTTTGTTTTGTCCTGTCGGCTCCCCGTAAATGTGGAGTATTCAGGATCAACCGTTTCATTGGGAAACATGTACTGCCTTCCGCCACCTAAAATAACCTACAATAAAATAACAGAGGGATTTCACAAGCGAGACTGTTGTCAGCGACTGATTATCTATACTTCAATGAGGTTTACCGGTTTAGGGCCTTACATTAATCGTCAATAAGGAAAATGTTGATACGAAGTTGCAATTGTGATATATAAAGCCTCAATTACAAGAAATAATGTTGCAGTTGTGAGATATTTTCACAATTAGGTGAAAAAAGATGAAATTACAACATATAAGGTTCAGATTGCGTGAAACAAAGTTGCAACTGTGATAAAGTCGCAATTGTGAGGTATAAAGTTGAGTAATGATGAGAAATAGTCACAACTGCGATATAAAGTGACATTGCGAAATGTAAAGAAATAGTCACAATTGTAAGAATCATAAGAAATAAAGTTGAAATTATGAGATAATAGAGGTTTGTGAGAATGCGCCAATAACGAAAAAGTTGAAATGAAGTCGCAGTTGTAATATATAAAGTCTCAGTTATAAGAAATAATGTTGCTGTTTTGAGATATTTTCACAGTTACGTGAAAAAAGATGAAATTACATCATATAAGGGTTCAGATTGTGTGAAATAAAGTTGAAGTTATGATAAAGTCGCAATGATGAGAAATACAATCGAAATTGCGAGGCATAAAGTTCTAATGAGAAATAGTCGAGAAAACGTTTTCTTTTTTTCTCTTTAAATATATGTGTATTCCATATGTATCCCCGAGTCCCTAATTCTGCAGTTTTGAAATCATCTTTACATGCAAAATACATTTCAGATTTCAAAAGAATTGCACAATATGTTCATATGGTTAACTATGAGATAGCTCGGAACTGAACATCTGCTTAACTCTGAACATCTGAGTAAAAAAAATCACTACATTAATGGGTTAACTGTCCTGGTATTTGGTCTTCCCTGCCATTACCTGCCATCTTTGCCTGATGCAGAATTGATTTGACCTCATTGCCTTTAACGGAGCTGCAGTCTTTGCGGCGTGCAGCTGCACTGAGACCCAGAGTCCCATAGTTTGCCTTCACACCGCAGTGATATGCAGTGGCTGTTGCTGCGCTGTCAGGCATCTGCTGATCGACGTTGTAGGTCTACACAGGGACAAAAACAAACACCAGTGTTATTAAGAGTATTCGGATCTATCAGTCAATTATGAATCAATTTAGCCAGTGAGTTTTCTTCACCTTGGAGAGAGCGAGATGAGGGAATGTGTCCATGGCTAGGACGCTCTCCTCTCCTGTCTTCCCTTCCATCTGTCCCTTCATAATTCTTGCTGCGGTCACAGTGCTGATTCCCATGCCTTATTGTATGTCAAAAAGAACACGTTGCACAACTTTAAGGCACTCAAGTACACAAGACATACTGTATTCATAAAAATATATCAATAAATTCTGAGTTTGCTATGGAAGCATGTTTCCGCCACTGAATAAAAAATAAAAAGGATAATTGCGACTTTTTGTCTTCCAACTTTCCGACTTTTTTTCTAACAATTGCAAGTTTACATCTCGCAATTCAGACGTTTTTCTCAGGATTTCATGATAAACTCCCAGTTGCAAGAAACAAAAGTCTGAATTGCAAGATATAAACTCGCAATTTTGAGTTTATTCTTACATTTTCGAGATTATATCTCACAATTCTGACTTTTTTTCTCGCAATCCCAATTTCTATTCTCAGAGTTGTGAGATATAAACTCACAAATTGCGATTTACAAAGTCTAATTCTGAGGTAAAAAGACTACTTTCTTATCTCTTATCTTATCTATTGATACGTTTTATAACATTTGATAACTTTAATATGTACAACTGATTAAGCGATCTTGCAGTAAACAATCTGATTATCTAATCTAAAGCCACTGTGCAGGTTTTTTTTTCTTTCTGTCCTTTATGACTGTTATATGTAAAATTGTACCATGTGACCTTAGTGAGATCTTGGGTAAAAGACCAGGCAAACTATGCAACGTCAACTGTCATTTCTATCAGATTTTGTGATATGTTTGTTAGGACTTTGGTCACTTGCGTAATATGTAATAACAGTGTGTCACCTTTATAACAGTGTTATAACAGTCTAATTTTTCTTTTGTGTGTGTGTGTAAATGAATCAATTGATTTTAATGAATCTAATAATTTTATTACAGCCTCATTTCAATTATGAAACACAATTGTTAATAGTTTTAGCTTTAGTTAACAATAAAAACAATGGTTGAAATCACTCTCGGTATGATTTTTATTCCAGGAGATAAACTATGAAAACACTGACAGCCAATCAGAATCCACCTGACTTTAAAGAGCTTGAGCATTTAAAGTCGCAGACGACATAATTGCAGCATGCACAAACATTATTGTCTGTGAGTGTGGATGCCATTATATTTATCATTATATTTATCTTTCTTGATGTAAACGGACCTTTACATTGCAGAACTGCAACCCAAAATTCAGACACTGTCATAAGTTCATAAGTTTTATTTATTTAAGATTCATTGTAATGGCAAATAAATTTTGACAAAATCTAGAAATGTCTAGAAGGCTAATTTGTGGCTAAAATTGTGCAATACATACTAGATTATTAAACAGAACAATGCAAAAACAAGAAATTCTAGAAAATTCTATTTAGTTTCTATTTAACTCACCATCTCCGAGGAAGAGAATGAGATTTTTAGCACGGTGCAGGTTGGGCTTCATGGAGAGCGATGTATGAAGAGCCTCTTTACCCTTAACATACCAAAAGTTTGGGTGCTGCTCCTCCTCTTCAAATTGATTCCAGAAAAGAAACATTATTTCATTCTATTTGTTTGGAGAGAAAAATTATAATTTCGAACTGTGGAATAGCACTTACCAGGAATAACGGAGAAACATCCATCAAATCCTGCTAAAACAAATATTCCAATAATCAGAAGGGTCTGTTGTGTGGCCATGGTTTGAGCGACTGCAGCAGCACTGACAGCTCTGTAAAACTATTTGATGCCCTCCTGTTTATAGTCTTCTTTCAGACCAAAGGTCATTTGTAGTTCTTATTCCCTCTTTTGAAACATGAACTTTTGATCACGTACTGATCATTCGTGACCATATGATGTGATATGGATATATAATTATATGAATATTGATGTGAATGAATTACTGTACTGTTCTGTGACTTTTCCTAACCTGTGCTGTTCTTTAGTGAATTGTGCTTTTCTGCGCTAAACTGCTCTTTTTTATATTCATTACTGAACTGTTCCGTACTGAACTGTTGTTTACTGAAATATACCGTTAGTAACGAAGCACATTGTATTACTGGTCTAAACTGTTCTGTGCCATCCTTTTTACTGAATTTCTCTGTTTTGCACTGTTCTGTTCTGAAATGTTCTGGAATTAACTGGTGAATGATTAAGTTCAGTACTATACTGATCTAAACTGTTCTGCGCTTACTCTGTTCTTTACTGAACTGTTCTGTTTAGGAATTAACTTATCTGCACTGAACAGAATTATTAAACTCTGTCTGTGCTTTTCTCTTCCGAACAGTTGTTTACTGAATTGTTCTGTTCTGTTATTTACTGAACTGCAGCAAGTGCACTATTCTGTTCTTTACTGAACTGTTCTATTTGGTTCTGAACTGTTCTCGAATTAATTGATATGCACTGAACTGAACGATTAAACTCTACTGATTTTAAACCATTCTTTGCCTTCCTCTTTTGAACTGCTCTGCACCATGCTGTTCTTTTCTGGGTTGTTTTGTTCTGTGCTGAACTGCACCTCGCTGTTCCTTACTGAATTGTCCTGAGTGGTACTGTTCTTCAGTGAATTGCGCTGTTCTGCACTGAACTTCTCTGCACTACACTGTTCTTTACCGAACTGTTTAGTACTGTTCAATTTTTTTTTACTGAACTGAATTGTTCTTTACAGTAATATACTATACAGTACAATACTCTTCTGGTCTAAACAGTTCTATGCTTTTTCCTGTTCTTTACTGAACTGTTCTATTCTGTACTTTTCTGAACTGTTCTGTAGTGAACTGATCTTCACCAAACTGAATGAATAAATTCTACCGATTTAAACTTATTATTACTGAACTGTTCTATTCTCTTCTTTCATGGATTGTTTGTTCTCTGCTGAACTGCACTTCACTGTTCTGTTCTTTACTTAATTGTACTGTTCCTCAGTGAACTGTGCTGTTCTGCACTGTACTATACTGTATTACTATAGCATGTTACTTAACTGATTTTTTTTCACTAAACTGTTCTTTTCTTCAGTATACAGTTCTTGTTTGTTCTCTGCTGAACTGCACTTCACTGTTCTGTTCTTTACTTAATTGTACTGTTCCTCAGTGAACTGTGCTGTTCTGCACTGTACTATACTGTATTACTATAGCATGTTACTTAACTGATTTTTTTTCACTAAACTGTTCTTTTCTTCAGTATACAGTTCTTTACGGAACTGAATGAGTTGAACCATACTGAGTTAAACTGTTATACTATTCTTTACTGAATTGTTCTTTCTGAACTGAACTATTCTAATCTGTTCTGTCCTGAACTGTTCATGTAACTGAATGATTCACTTGAGTACTGTGTACTAGTCTAAGCTGTTCTTGTTCTGCTCTTTAAACTGTTCTGTTCTCTTCTGAACTGTTGATAATGAACTAAATGATTAAACTCTACAAATTTAAACCATCCTGTGCTTTTCTGTTATGAACTGTTCTGTACCATGCTGTTTTTTGTTTTGAATGGTTCTGTTCTGTGCTGAACTGTTCTGCTTTTCACTGAATTGTTCTGAAATGTACCATTACAACCGGTACTGTAAACTGCAATGAACTTCTTGCTTTTCTTTACGGTGTTTTATACTGATCTGTTTTTTTAGTACAATATACATTTCTTAACTGAATACTGCTCTTCTGAATGGAACTATACTAGTCTAAACTAAACTCTTTTTTTAACTGCTCTGTACTCCAGTTTTTTTTTACTGAATTGTTCTGTTTTGCACTGAACTGTTCTGGAATGAATTGATCTGCACTGAACTAAATTGTTATCAAAACCATCCGCGCTTCTGTTCTGAACTGTTCTTTACTGAATTGTTCTGTTCTTTGCTAAAATGAACTGTACTATACTGCACTTTTCTATTATTTTACACTGTTCTGGTCTGTTCAAAAGAAGCCCTGATTAATTCATTTCAGTTAATCAACAAGATCATCTGTAAATATAAGTAAATATAGTGTGCAAAATTTTGATTAATCTGCCTTGCTAACAGTCCATGTCTAAAAACACACAACAATATTGAAATGTACGGATTTGGCAGATGCTTTTAAACAATGTAAATTTCATTGCATTCTATGTTTATCAGTTCATGCATTCCCTGCATGCAAAATAGCCAGTGGAACTGTATTTAAATCAAATGTATAAGATAGATATTTATCATGACTTAACGGCTAGTTTTCTAACACTTCGTACAGTAATGGATATATAATTGCTTTCGATATCTGATGGCCACAGAACATTTAATCACAAAAGCTGATAACACTGACAACTATTACTTTTTTTAGAAAGTTTATTGGTCTCACATGATTGAAATTTATCGTCACAGTGCAAAAGAGTCTTCCATTGCGCAATATATACAAAAATATCCGATTATAAAATACATCCATGAAAAAAACCTTTACATTTATATACACAGCATTGTAATTCTGCAGAGCACCAAATTGCAATATAAACTATTTGGGTTATAAATCTCCAAAAAGCCCCAAAGAGTCCTGGGGCCTCAATCACTCGTGCAGTAGAGTCTGTCATCTCATGACAAGCCAAAACACGCCGGTTATTGAGATAAGAGGCATTGAAAGAGTTATTTTACAGCCTCCTGAGCCATGAAGACGCAGTGGACAGTTAGTGTACGGCTCCAGACACGCTGCATAAGCCATCGCATGGGCCACATAATTCTGTTCTTTGACTCCATGAAAGAGATGAGCCATCGGGCCTTTTGCATAGATAGCCACATCTTCCCCTCCATGTGTCTCTGATTCTAAAGGAACAGCCGCTTGTTGCATGTACTCTTCATCAACTACAAATAAAGTAAGATATGGTATTAGTGTTTGACAACAATAGAAGAGACAGGTAGTAAATTAATTTAGGCAATACTTACAATAATCCACTTCTGAAACATTTCCTCTTGTTCCGTTTACATGAGCATATCCTGGTCCATTAGCATACAAGATACTAGTGTATGGAAGATTATCCTCAGCCTTCTTGGGTGCCAGACCTGGGGAAAAAAAGCACTGAAACAATGGCCATGCAGTGCAATACTAGTGTACTGCCAATATAGTGTATACTCCCAATTTTTACTTAAGTGTGTTAACAGAATCCTGAAGTGTGGCTTTTATTTCATTAATATTATATTATCTGCAAGTACAGTTTTTTTTAAACACACTTTTAAGGTTTGAAGTACACTACATGTGTACTTGCAAGGGAAACATCAAGTTTGTCAGCTCAAAATGCATATTTAACATTCTTTTATACGATTAAATTAGTCAAAGTAAAAATGGTAGCTGTTTACTCTTTTACATTTTTAATGACTTTCGGTGTCTTGTTCTAGATAATCAAAAGAGCTTAACCGGTTAGCGCTATGCTAAGCTAGTAGGTTAAGCAGTAAGTTTGTTAACTGAAGACTGAAAGCACACAAAAAAAGAAATATAGGGAGGATCTACACTACTTCATTATTCATATGGCGCAGCTGATGAGCCAATAAGCTGCTGCTCAATATTCAAATACTCGGCTAGTATTTGCTGTGGCAGTTGCATTGACTTCAGAAACTCTCCACATCCCCAGCTCCACCTGTGATCATGTATGTTATATATGGGGGTTATTTCATATATACGTTATATGTGCAGCAGCAGTATTTCTTACATGCTCACAGCAGCTTGTCTGTGGATGTATTGGCAGAAGCAAATACTTGCAGATCTATTCCGCCAAGACCAAACACATTAACATTGCCATGTATATTTCCATGCTAAAACTTTCAGAGAGTTCTGATGACAGAAATTACATTGTCATTATTTCAATTCCATGGCGTAAAGTAAGCTAGTATATACCAAAAATAGGGTTGCCTCGGGGGGTATTTCCACCAAAAGTGAAGACATGGGAATGATCTGCAGTGACAACAGTGAGAGTGTCCAGTTCACTGGTCAGCTTAGATGCTCTCTGGATTGCACGGTCAAACATGATGGTTTCGGTCAGAGCAAGCTTGGCAACCCCATCATGGTGTCCATGGTCTATTCTACCTCGTAAAGCACAAAGAAAGGCATGTTTCACTATTGGCAGAATATCTTTAAACTGTAACACCAGAGTAAATGTTAAATACTCATCTTCCACAAAGAGAAAAAACCCTTTGGGATTCTTGCTGAGGATTTGAATGGCTTTCTCTGTCATGTCCACAATAGAGGGGTCACGGGTGCGATTCCTGAACACTTCAAACTTCATGTCCTTGGGTTCAAAGAGACCTGAATGAGAGCGTCATATCAGCAGACAGATACTGTCAGTAAGTCAATGTGGAAACCTTGTAAACTGGCATTACCCATCAGGCGGTCTGTTGTTTTAACATTCACTGCATTAAGCTGCTCTTTGTTCCAGACATACTGGGCGTTTCTTCCCTAATAAACAAAACAGATAATCGCGTAAAACTGTAGCGGTTGTTTACAAACACAATTAGTGCCGCAATGAATGGATTTCTTGGAGATACCTTACGAGCATTCAACCAGACATCAATGAGGTTCTTTTTGTCTTTGCGATCCCCTTTGCGAGAAGATGAAGAGGGGTATTCTGGATCAGGGGTACCCTTGGGTGTCATGTACATGCGGCCACCGCCAAGAATTACCTGAAATGGAGACGTATTTAAAATGTGTGAACTTCTCATTTAAAAAATGTAAAAATGTTCAGGTTTCTTGACCAAAATTTCAATTATTTCAATTATGC